CTGTTTTGTACGCATCATCAGCATAATTGAGGTTTACAGAGAAGAGTTTTCAGGACTATGCTTTTCAAAATACTAGTAGATTCTAATTTTGCATACTGTCAGACCTTATTCACATATTCGTGTTGTGTTTAAGGTTGCATGGGCAAAGCAAGGGAGAAGTGTTGGCATTAAAGAAAGAAAGTTGTGTGAAAATGTTCTAAACGCTGCATTTATTAAACTTTCTTACAAATTTAATGCAATTTTGTATTTAATACATTTAGAGTACATTATATTAAAGAGTATGTTTTCAATGCTTACGAAGCCACTAGTCTCAGATCATAATTTTTTTATTTGTTTCCATATACTTTAATCGCCAGCATTTAGAATTGGTGTATAGCTTTAGTTTCTCTGGCTGTGAAAGCCATGAACTGTCATGACCTCTGATGCTCAATATATCTAATTATACTGACTGTCTATATCTAAGCACATTTAGCACTTTTTTCTTTACACCTGGGCATCCATCTTCTTTGTATTTCAGAAAGGCCCATTAGCAATCTCCCATTTCCTGTTACAAAATAACTGAAGTTTTTGTAAGATTTGCTTAGGACACTAAGGAATGTTTTCTCGGATGGCAGTAGAATTTGATCCAATTGCTTTGCAAAGATGTAAAATGAATAGAGAGTGGCTTCTTGTGTATGGAAAAATAGTTTACAATGAAATGTTTGGGGTTTTAAAAATTTAAGCATTGTTTTTATTTGTTTCTGTTCTGTTATAAAGCTTGCTGTTTGAGAGTACAGTCTTCTAAAGGCACAACAAAGTATACTTTGAATGGTAAAACTTAATTGTGCTGAAATGGTGTCTTTTCTTTCTCAGTTCCTTTCCTGCTCAGAAAGGCATCTGGTGAGCCTCTCTGTTGGTGTGAGGTAAGTGATCAAAGTATTCAAGTAAGAGCAGGGATGATGGTAAACTGGGAAGAGGAAGGAGCAGGACCTTCTCATTTAAACTGCTGGAGTTTAGGAGTGACAGCTCACCCCCTAAAGGTTTGTCTTGTCATGACAAATCTCATTGCTAAGTTATGTTCTTTTGTTCCTGTTGAATTCTTTATTTTCAAGTGCTTTATTTTTGAGGGTAAAGAGATTCAAGAGAAGCTCAAAACAATTCCACCTGTTTTTCCAGGTGGAATTTACAATGCATGAAACTGTGGTAGATCTAATATTCTGGTTATTTATTAATATGCTGGATAGTATGTACTATTTTATAACAAAGTAATAGCTATTGACTTTGATCCAAAGATGCTCTAACCTTATTTCTTTGAGCACAGGAAGAGGCTTAGCACTCTATTTAGCTCAAACCTATTTGTCTGTCCAAGGTGGTAACAAAAAGAGAGAAGTAATGCACCAAGGCAATAGGCTTTACGCCCAAGGCACAGCTAAATCATGAGATGTTTCCCTGTTCTCAAGTTAACAAAAGAGCTAAATGAGGTCAAGGAATCACATCCACAGTGATTTAAGACAACCAAAGTTGTGCTTGCTGCAGTTTATTGGGTTTTTTTCTACCTGCAGTAGCACTCATGTAATGTCTCAGTGAACCGATTCATGGAGAGCTGAAGCACCTGAACAATAATAACTGTTCTGAGGAATTTTTTTCCTAACTTTATCAGCCCCACATGATTGCTAGGGTCAGTGGAAGAGCAGCCTCAATTTAGAATGACTTCAGTTATTGTGGAGCTACCTCTTAGGACAGCAGCTTTGTGTTTCGACTGTCATAGTAAAATTGCATATTGTTCCTGAAGGGGGTAATCCCATTTTCTCCTTTCTTTTTTTTGCTGTTACCTTTTGCACCTATTTCCTCCGCCTGTTAGCCTCAGATTTAATGGCTTTTGTGACTTTAGAATAAACCTATAACTGTAAGTGTATTCCTATAACAAAGTAATTCAGTGCTTCAGTGAGTTAGTTTTAAAATGACCTCCCTTGTCAAACCAATTCATTAGGTTTGACCCCAGGTAAGTGGCAGGAGCACATTGCTAGATTTAGGAGAAGGAATACAGCAGGACTTGTCCAACTTTGGCACTACAGTGAATACCATATGATGAAACATAGCACTTGTTGCACAGTTTTTGCAATTTGTTGCACTTTGCAACATCCACTGCTGATAGACTTGGGGGATTTTGAAGAGGGATAACTGTGCTTCATTTCTGCTTTTCTTCAGGAGAATGGAATTTGGGGCTTGAAGTTGGGGCTTTTTTTAATTATCTAAATTAATCTGACTTTGCTTGCCTCTTATTCAACAGTCCTACATAGCCTTGAATGGTGACAAATTGCTCAAGTTAAGGAGAAAAGAGTTATTAATAAAAGACAATAGATACTTAACTCACTGAAGAACAAAACTGTAATCCCAAAAGGATGAAAAATGGATTTTTTTCAACATAAGTTAATCTTTGCAAGTATGAGAAGTAAACAATATTCACCTCATAGTTATTTACGTCTATTTTAGATCACTTGTTGTGTAAAAAATAATTACTCTTTTTAGTTATTGCAAATAATATAAATCCAAAGGAGGTTCTGTATTCCATTAGGTAATGTCAGCTAGACTGATTTCATCACAGGAATTATTTTTTTTCTGTCTTTCTGGTTTAGGATTCTGTGGTAAACTTAAAGTTTTCAAATGATTGATTTTATTTTTACATATAAATATTAATCCATTTGAAGGCCTGAATATAAAATGTGTAGGTTTTCATACATTTCCACTTGGTACATACTTCAGATTGATGAGTTTTATATGTGGTTATTGAGCTGTGTAGCTGAGGCTTCAGAAGGTATTCCTTGCTGAGAGATGCTTTCTCTGAGTGAGAAGTTCTTCATGGAAATATTTCTGTTCTCTGATGTTTCCCATGGTTTTCTGTACTTTTAACAATTTTTTTCCCCCCATCTTAAGTAACGGTATTGGAATATTTTCTTTTTACAAAGGGCCTTATTTTATATTACAGCCATAATTGATTTTGATATTTTACCCAGTAATATTTTACTAATTTGTCGAGATTATCCAATAAGATTTATAACAACAACAACCACTATATTCATGCTCCTAAAGTATAAAATAGAACTTAAACCAGGATTTTGAGCATAAACTTTGTAATGCTGGTGTAAGCTCTCTAACTTTTCATCACTGTATAGGAAACCTTATATCCCTGGAAAGCAATAAGATCTCATTGACTGCTGCTATTGGAAGGACTTGATTAAAAGAAAAAAAAAATATATGTGTATACTCATTTTGTTTCTGGATTTCTTGATCTTGGGTCACGTAAGGAAAAAGGGTTTAACTGTCGGCTTAGGAAGTAGGAAAGAGCAGCTCTATTTTGTAGTTCAAATGAGTTAGAAGTCTGAACGTAACAGGGCTTGGTTACTAGACTAACAGTTATCTACAACTATACACATAGTAACAATTAAAATTTACAGTTTTTAAAGTGTCTGACAGGTTTGCTTATGCTAGTTTTGCCATTTAGTCTGAAAAAACCCCAAACAAACAAAATCCTGAAAAAACAACACCACCCCAACCATGACTTTGAAATTCTTATTTGAAAATGTCATTTCTACCATGTTAGACAGAACTGTTTTAATTGAAGTGAACAATTACCCATTTTAAGAGTGTTAGTCAGATGTTTTCAATATAAAGCATAGGTTTAATTTTCCACTTCAGTAATTAACTTTTCTTTTATCCAGTTGTATGACTTTCTTGTAGATCTCCCATTGTTCCAAGGACAGATTAAATGCAGTCAGACAGGAGCCCTGATTTGATGGATGTGATAAATTCTGCTAGAGTAGGGATGTCCTATTATAGAGACTTTTCAATTGGACATGGATTATGCTCTGTGAATCTTGCTAACCTATTTAAAGTTTTGATACTCTACTGTTTTAAATTCTTTGTTTTGTATCAAAGTTGATGTTTTCAAACTCAATTTAAAATTCATATATTTATCTTATTTGGCCACATTGTTTAATTTTTAGCCATGCATGATGAAATCCCCATTCTTTTGACTCTATAGGACAAGTTAGAAAGCTGCATTGTGTATTTAGGGTTTGTATTTCATATTACTGTAATTCAGTACAATTTCCCGTTCTCAGTTCTTGAATTTAGGATGTTTAGTAGCATATTAAAATGGTGATTTTGGTATTTACATTTTATGTACCTTTGTTCTCTCAGCATTAAATTAAGCATGTGGTTTAATATTTAGGTTGTTTACATATGTCAAAATGTATAACTGATTTGTTGAGATCTCTAATAGCATTTTTTTTTGCAAGTTTGGAAATGTCTTCATTCACTATAAAGCTGACTTTTTTTCGCCTCAGTTCATTGGCTAGCTGTTTTGCCATGGGTCATAAATACTTCTTTAATTCTATCCTTTTAGGTTCTTTGAAGACTTGAGCAAATGCCAAATTTTATGACTTGTGACAAGTTACACGCACCAGTGAGCTGTGACATGATTGGAGTCTTAAAACAGTTTTTATAGAAGGGAGAAAGACATGTGCAAAAAATCCTCATTTTTAGTGTATGAAATATGCTGGTAGGAAAAGAAAAGGTTTGAAGGTGAGAGTTTCATTTGTGGCAGACCCCCAACCCATCCTATGCATCTTCAGTATGGTGCAGAATAGTATGGCCCAGTCCATGTCAGGAGGCAGTGGTTGTGTGTGAGGTTCTTTAAAGTCTCTGCCTATGTTTCACAGTGCTTCTGCTAGATCCAGAGTTCTTAGCCAAGGACTTGACTGGACTGAATTCCTTGCTGTATAAAAGAATTCCTGTGTCATGGAAAACCGCTGAATTTTGGACTGGTTCATTCATCTGTCTCAGTGAGGGGACTGGCAACTTGCAGAGGAGTGGCAGGTGGGAGGCTTTAGGGATCTATTTACAGATGTTGAAAATCCTGTGGTGGACTCATCTTTGTGCTACTTTAAAAAACCCTGCAATAAACAAAACAAACAAACAGACAAAACCTCAAAACCCACCCCAAAACTGTACAGCTGTTTCTCCTAGACTGTCTAAAATTTCTTTGTAAGTCTCAGCGCTGGACTACTGTGCAGTTTATCAGATTAATTAAGAAAGATGAATAGACTGATGAATTGCAACTGTGGTGTCCACATTTATCTTAAATGATATTCACTTTTTCCTGTCTTGAGAAACATTGCACGTTCTTGCTTCTGGCTTTCAAGGTGTCATGTCTTTAGCTGCTGAAAACCTGTGCATCATTATTCTTCTGGAGCACTCACAGAAAAGTAACTGGCTTTTCATTTAATTATTTTTCCAGGAGATTGGCACTTGTGCCCATTTTTCTTTCTCTTTTCTACCTTCTCTGTTTATTCACTACATCTTTCTGTTAAAAGTATATTAATCAGAGAGGTGTTAGATGTCTAAATCTAGGACCCTGAATAATATATGACCCCTACTATACCAATTGCATTTGACACTTAAAATATTCATATAATATTTTGATATTTCATGCTGACAGTCACAATTTCCTCTGAACAGTTTCCTTGAATTTTCAGATGTAATGTATTGCACCTGGGCTAGTAATGATTTTTATTGTTAAGCTTAACTGTAAGGCAGTCAGTGACTGTAATAATTTTTTGAAGACCATTATGATAGTAGTCAGTTTAGCAAAAGGCATCAAGTTGTTGAAGCAATTTCCTAATTGTATTAATCTTCCCTCCCAAAAAGCTAGATTTGACTATTAAAGTTTAGATGTGGAAGGAAATTAAAGCAAAACAAAAAAAACCCCACACAAATAAAACACCCAACCAAAAATCAAAACACAAACCACAAACAAACAAACAAAACCAACCCAAACAAAACAAAACCCAAAATAAAACCCAAACAAAAGAACTAATATGACAGATAATTAATTCTCAAAGTTGGGAAGAAAGCTTTTTTACAAAATATAATCCTAGCATCTGATGTTGACATATGAAACTTTATCACTTTAGAAAACATTTTATTATAAAATGTCCTCATATTTAGGTGATTACTTCTGCATGATTGTTTTGGAAAAGAATTTAAAATATTACCTGTAAAATATTAGCTGTTTGTACTTGTTAACAAAACATTGAAACTTTGAATATCCAGTAGAAATACTTCCTTAATACATATTTACTAATCTTCTGATTCAATGTGACCAAATAATTGTTTTTAGTTCCATTAGAATAAATGGTTTAGTTCATATGTAAACCCACAGAAGTATGAATAGCAACAGATGATTTAAAGTGACATCAGTCAACTTGATTTTTATAACAGTCTAAAAATGTTAGCTAACTTTTAAGAAAAACATTAAATTTCATTTAAAAAGTACCCAATAAGTAAGTCAAGACTTCTTCAAAAAGTTTTTGAAGATACATCCTAAAGAATTTTTAGTTGTCCTGATGTTATACAGAAATTAGTAATTCCTCACTCAAACAGTAAGAATGTGAATGTTACAGAGGGATTGTACAATTAGTGATTAAATATACACAGATTGTTTGTAAGTGCTTTTGTGTTTTCTATTTCATACAAGTTGATGGTACATCTTTAAATATATTTTAATAATATAACATAATTTTTACCATTGTGCTTCATTCTCAAGGTTTGGGTTTTTTTATTACTGGGAATACCTGACGATGTTTTCCACTGATCTGAAGTTGAATGAAAAATAACTATTAGTTCAATCTTTGTTTTGGTGGCTTTGCTGCATTAACTGCACATTTTTTGAGGTGACAGTTCACTATAGAGCTCTGTCCTGTGCAGTTATTCCAGAGATTTTGTGTTCATTTGAACTTATTACCAAATCTGAAATTCAGAATTAATTATGCATCAAAAAGAAGCCCAAAAAACTTTTTGATAACATTTTTTTTTGTGTCAGAAAACAATATTAGCCTTTAATTTGAGCAAAAAACTTGAAAACTCTATAATAAATGGTGCCTGGTTTGAACTATTTGTTAGGGTAAACACAGAAAGCAGTTAAAGAAAGATGTGTGTTGAACTGTATTCTTTCCCCAAAATGTTTTGAAAATCTTTTAACAAGCTACTCCACTACCTCAAAACCCAATCCCTTATAAACATCCATATAATTTCTTTTCAGGACGTATGTAATAGAAATATATCCAATAGATTTTTCTTTTGGGAGAAGTGGTTGAGCATCTCTTTTTCATGGTGAGTGAATCTCCATTGAACAACGGAGATCCACAAATCAAGCATTAGGTGCCACATAACTAATACATCATACAAATACCAGTGTGGATTTTCTTACAGTCTTTCCGAACTGTATATCAGTTCTGATTTTCTAAAGATTACAGGATATCCCTCACCTTTCTCTTAAGAATGCTGATTAATGCTGACTGCAGTTTTGTCTGTATTTCATGTGGGATACTTGTGATAGAAATTGTTCTAATTGAGTTCTTAGGTACTCTCTTAGTTCCGACACTTAAGGTGAATAAGAATAATGATAGATGAAAAAAGGTTAGATTGGAAAATTTTGAAGTTATAATCCTAGAGGGAACACCATTTCTGAGCAACTAGAGGTATGTTTGTATTTGTTAATTCAGTTGAGCTCTGAAAGGAGTGAAATTAAGTCCCTGAAATATAGGACAGGAGAGAGAAACAAATGGCAATAAAGAAGCTGAAATTGCTAATGGGAATTAAAGGAATATCCAGAAATCTGATACTAGAGATGATAAGTGAAGATAAATCTGGAAGGCATTTCCAAGAAGAAATTATGTTATACATTAAAAAAAAAAAAAAAAAAAAAAAGTTGTCAGATAATTAATTTGACTTTGACAGTGGTGCCTTTCTTGAATTCTTCCTGAGTATACATGCAATATTATTTAAGCAGGCTAGTGATTTTCTGTATCTGTATTTTAAGAATAAGGCCTTATTTTGAGACTTAAACCTGTCCAGGTTTAATTGGATAATCCTCTGTGTGTAAAATGCTTGACTGTGAAAAAGAATGAAATAAGCTTGTGGGCTATGAAATGACCGGTAGGTTATGAAAATGTGGTTGGAAAATGTATTCCATATTGGAAACATTTACATACAATCATTCATACAAATTTTTTTTTCAAATCTACTTTCTCTAATTTCCACTAGTAATCAGTGTTTCTCAAATTTCCTCTAGAAGGGAGGGCTTAAACAGGAGAGTTAGTTTTTCTAAATTGTGTCCCATTTGGCTGTTGTGCATCTTACTGCTATAGAAGTTCAGGATCCACAGGAAATCTAAGCATGGGTTTTACAAACAAAAGCAAATTAAATGTGAAACATAAAAGTTAGCGGAAAATTTTAAATTGTCTTATCCTGCTGTTTACCCTCATCTTCTCTATTTTATTACTTTTTTATTACTTTCTTTACTGTTTCGCCTTGATGTCATATTTTATATGACAAAACACCCATGTTCCCTCTTAAAGTGCTGCACTTGGGTGCAACTGGGTTAACGGGCCTGTGAAATCAGAGTATAAATTCCTCAGCATTTGAACCTTTGGAAACTAAAATACTGTGACAAAGTGCAGTGTCACTGGAGCCAGTCGCCAGATCTGTTAGCTCGTGGTTGAGAGTAGGGCACCCCAAAATGTCAGGCAGCGGGGCTGTTGCCGCGAGGTAATTGGGAGCAATTAGCCGGGCTCCCTGCCGGGCACATCTCTGTTGCCTTTCCCGTTTGCCCTTCCCCCTGTGCTGCCGCTGCAGGGCGACGAGTTGTGGCAGTGATGGTTCCCGGGGAGGCTGTGTGACCGTGTGTGTGCGTGTGTGTGTGTCCATGCGGGCTCCCCGGCCCCCTCCCCGCCCCGCCGCATTGTGGAGGGAGGGACCGCGGCCCGCAGCCGCCTCCGCCGCCGTGCGGGGCCGGGCGCTGTCCGTGGTGCTGAGCCCGGCGGGGACGGGCGCTGTCCGTGGTGCCGAACCCCCCGCGGGGCCGGGAGCTGTCCGAGGTGCTGAGCCGCGCCGCCCGGGCGGCACCATGGTGTTCGCTCCAGGTAAGGGCAGCCGCTTCCTGAGCCCAGCCGGGGAGCCCAGCGGGAAGGGCCCGGCCGTGCCGGAGAACTGATGCGGGGAGGAGGGTGGGGGGGTGAGCCCAGAGCTGCCAGCAGGCAGAGAGGCAGGTAGGTTCAAAGAAGGCGGCTTAGCTTAGGGTGTGCTTGGCTGTGGAGCTGGAGATTGTGAGGGTCACCCCTGTGGTTCCCATCAGGGAAAGGAGCCTCCTGTACAAGTGTGCAGAGGACTGCTTGTCAGACTGTACAAAAGGGTCAGGAAGGGGGACATGGCCTTGGATTGACTGGAGATGAGTCCCCCTCGGCATCCCCAGTGGTGAGTGCAGATGAGACAATCTGTGAAACTCATGGAGATATTTTACAAATTTCAATTCCTCCCTGTTCCCCCCAAAAAAATATTTGAAGAGAGCAGAAAGTTTGTTCAGTCCCATTTTTTACTGGAATAAAACTGAAGATTTCAGAAGGAGTTCATGTCTGTTGTGAGACCTCACTCTACAAGGGTGCAGAATCTCTGCTGCGTGGTATATATCAGCCAACCCATAGAAGAAGGGAAACTACAGAGAATCTGCATTGGATGTCATACATTCTGCTTTGAATTAGGCAGTTCATTTTTCAGAAAGGAGTGAAAGGCCTGGCAGTTCCAGTATATAAATTTGTAGTGAAATGACTTGAAAATAACTTGTTTAAAGATGTATAACTGTCAGTAAAATAGTGGGTCAATAGAAAAGGGAAGGTAAAAGCTACAACTTCACAATGAATAACTATTAATACCTTTGTTTTGCAAAGCTAACAGAAGTTTTGTCTTCTTTGAAGTTCTATATCCAGTCTGTGAAGGGGTAAGAGTTCAAAAGCTTTACACCTTCATTAAGAAAAATTATCTCGGGATTAACTTTGCTAGCTCAATAGAGTCTAATTTTTTGAAAATCAAAACACACTATATTTTTTCAACAGTCTGAAGTTCATTTTGTCTCTTTCTGCCCAGTTGCTGTCTAATTTGATACGTTCACTTACATCATGTTCTGAAACTGGGACCAGGTTATTTATATTAATAGAACCAGCCACTGCTTTTTGTAATACACCTTTCAGTATTAGTGGCTCTTTTCTGAACTCCTTTTATCTGTCAGACTGTCACTGTTAACTATACACAGTTCTTGAAATGCACTGTGGGATCAGAATACTGCAGGAAGACATTACCTCTAAAATAATGGAAATGTGCTTTTTTTTTTTCCCTCTTCCCCCTCCCCTCCCCCCCGAAGACTGAGAGAGAA